GAGGGGGCCAGGGCTGAGGTATGCAGGGGAGCAAGAGAGGCTGCAGGAGAGCTTGCATCGTACTCGATCTGCATCCCCGAACGGAGATGCGTAGTAGCAGCATCCCTCGTTAGGCTCTGAATAGAGTTTACGTACACTTGCGCCAAAAAAGCAAAGATTAATTTCGCCCAGATGCGCATTTTGACCCCCTGCGCCCTTCTGTAGCTCCTTCGGAAGACGATACGCCCTTGCACTCTCGAAACCCGACCAATTCGAATAATCGCGAGCACTCGCGAATTAAAGAGATTCATCCCCCGTAGACTGGCACGTCCCTCGTACAATTCAATTCGTTATCTACGTCCCGCGATTCACGCAACAGACAGTCGGTCCGCGAATTCAATGTTTTTTTGACAATTCGCAAAAAAAAATACAATAATCTAAATATATGGTAAAATAACAAAATTTATTTAGTGCAAAACCACGCACACGCAATACTTTGTAAAAAAAATATATTTAACGCAGTGCCACGTGTGTTTTGCCAGAGGCTTCGATGTTTTCGGTCTGTCGAAAGAACCACTTCGAACTCATGGACGGGACTGTAAGAAATACGCGCAAATAAATTTTCCACATTGATTCGCCTGCTGCTGACTATACGTATAGACCATACATAGTACAGGAGCCCTAATTCCAGTATCGAATTACCTCCCTTCGTCAAAGGTCCCTCCCATCGGTATCGGCACGACCCTTTTTGCAAGGCAGCAAGAGAAGCCCGTGTTACGCAACGACAGTCAATATCCCGAATGGCAAAAAACATTATCATGCGTCGAATGACAAATTTCTACGAAATTCTGCCTGCGTACGTTTAAGCCATCACTTTGGCACGGGCAGAAGCAGGTAGGAAAATAACTTTGTCGATGCACTATACCAGCCGCCCCGTGACGCAACCTGCAGCAAAGGGTTATTCAGGCCGCGAGGGGCGAGGGAACGGATGCGTGGATTGCGTGGCGACGGCGGAGTAAGCCACCAGGGAAAAGTGTGTGAGTGTGAAGCACTGGCCGCCCCTTGCGAAACTGCATGGGGGAGCGCGGGTATTGATTTTCTGGGGATTTGGGGTAGGACGACAGTGTTACGTCGGTGCACTTAGGCAGCGTTCAAAAAAGAAGCATTGACGTAGGACGAGCTGGGGTTAGGTCGGCTCTGCGACGAGGGCTGTGCCACTTGTCAATTCAAAAGAGGCGAAAGCAGAAGATCTTAATAAAAGAAAACTAAATAAAAATCTCAAGCTTAAATGACGATACAATAGGAGGGATGATCTTTCACGGTTTATCTACCAGCACATCACATACGCCTATTCGTACGATTAGCCAAAACGAAGATAATTCTCGTAGGATATTCGTCTATTTTTTTTATTTATTTTTTTTTTTTAAATCATTTGTCGCATATATTAACGTCGTCTCGCGGTATAACCAATCAACATGATTGTCCAAGTGTGACTGGTACTCGTGTCGTAAACATGTTGACACGATTCTGCACTCGCGGACTTGCATCATCGTGAACTGCACTCGCGCGCAGCGCGTCCCACGGCTGAAGAGATCGACTGGTAAACACGGGAATTTTTCTAGCCGATGGAATGTCTGCGTCCAAATGCCTGCCGAACCGCCCACACGCCTTCGGGACAACAAGAAATTTACATGCTCGCCGAACTTCCGGCTGCTGGTTACGCTCCTCCTCACCTTCGCTGTTAAACGAGTCGCTAAACAAGCGCAGCATCCGAATTCGGATTAGAATGACTTTGATTCAATGGAAAAAAAAAAGGGTTCAACCTGTCAAGAGCGTAAAAAAGAGAAATATGAATTTTTGACGAGCGGGGATGCTGCATCAATGAATTATCGTGATGACGGTGCTATATATACAAATTCCACAGACTCATCCGACGGTCCAACGTATCTCGCGACTCCTCGCAGACTCCTGGGTAATCGGTCGGACGGCACGACGTACGAACTCACGTTCGATTGCGCAACCGTCGTTAATTACCCTCGAGCATTGCCCGTTTTGCCAGCCGACACCATTAATGGTGCACTGGGCTGCTGGCACTCGCGTCGCGGTCGTTCGCGCCAGATCGTTAACCTCCGAGCGTCTCACGATTTTCAAATCTCCTGGAACAGAGATATATTCGTGACGGCAGAGTGCATCGAACCGATCTACTAAACGGCTGCCATAAGATTCGCATAAAAGTCTCGTTAGAGTATCGTTAGACGCATGTGGTAAACCTGTGTACATATGTATATACAGTCACCCGTAACTCCGTAGTTACGGAAGACGCTCCATACGTGGTTCCATGTGTGGATCCGTGAGTGCGCAACGGCTTACGTGGTTCCCACGGTATTTACTGACTCTCTCGCAACTGGGATACCGGAGGATCAATGTAAAGTAGGAGCATATGGGATCATCCTGAAAAGTTTCGACTCTAAAGGTTTAACGAGACTCACCTTGATGTGATAGGAATTGAGCTTGGTCCTGGGGAGGCTGTTGAAGGCGCTGAAGTCCAGTCGACGAGAGAAGATCCCGTTCGCCCCGCAGCTTTGTCTGAAACGTAAAGAAACACGATACGTGGGGGTTAAAGTTCAAGTCAAATCCTTAACGGAACGCGAGGCATTCTGGGAATTTATCGTGATTCATACTCGGCTCCCTGGTTTCCGGTCTGCCGCTCGATGCCCAAAGCCACCCCCCGTTTTCCCAGGCGGAGGGTTGGGAAGTCGCTGTATACCAAGAAGGCACGAAGACGAGGAGGTCGAGGGTTAAGGACTACATGTACGTACGCCGTGTATTGATCTGCGTACATTTCAAGTACATAAGAAACAAGGTACGGATACATAACAAGTGCGTTAAGCTTGCCGCTCGTTAAGGAAAACGCTCAGTGAAACGATCGGGTTACGATTATTTTGTCAACAGACCGATAAAGAGCTGACAGATTTTGGTATCGATACAAGCACGCATCTCCGTCTGAGGAAAATTCGACTTGCGTCTCTCGTGCGTTGGTTGCGTCAGAGGCATTTGCAGTAAAAGACGGCAAATACAAGGAGGGAAAGAAAGGGGGAAAAAAAAACATGAAAATTTTTCAAGACGCGTCTCCAGCCTGAAAAATATCTTTACCTTGTGCGAAATCCGCAACGCCGAGCACATATCCAGTTGGATTTGCCACTCGTGGCGTCTCTTGCAAATTCGCCGGAAATACGTCGGACGCTTTGAAAACGTCAGATACGTCAGGCACACATGTACGTCGAATACCTCGAATCTCAATATGTCGAAGCGACGTCGCTCGGCGTCGCCGTTCTCCTCCACTGATGGGAGCCGTGTATACGGATTCTCGGCGGAAATATGTCGACACGCAGGTACGTGAGTCGAGAACGAATGCAAGCAGGATGAAGGG